GCAATCTATAGATTCAACGCAATCCCCATCAAAATACCAATGGCATACTTCACAGAACTAAAACAAATACTTCAAAAGTTCATATGGAACCAAAAAAGACCTCGAATAGCCATAGCAATCTTGCAAAAGAAGAACAAAGTAGGAGGGATCACATTACCAGACTTCAGATTATACTACAAAGCCATTGTAATCAAAACAGCCTGGCACTGGCACAAGAACAGGCATATAGACCAGTGGAACAGAACAGAGAACCCAGAAATGGACCCAAGGCAATATGCTCAATTAATATTTGACAAAGGGGGCAAGAGCATACAGTGGAGTAAGGACAGCCTCTTTAATAAATGGTGTTGGGAAAATTGGACAGCTACATGCAAAAAAATGAAACTAGACCATCAACTTACACCATACACAAGAATAAACTCAAAATAGATAAAAGACTTAAATGTGATTATTACCTGCTTCAAGCCATTTAGGAATAGTCAATGTATAAGTATATATTCTTTAGATGTACTTTTATGTAATTTTGGTGATGTCTCACTACAACACACAGCTGTATACAACAGTCTTATTTTATTTTATTATTATTATTATTATTTTTGTATGTGTCCCTAGTGGGGACCGAACCCGGGACTCTCTGGTCCACAGGCCGGGTCTCCAACCGCTGAGCCAAACTGGCCAGGGCTACAACAGTCTTATTTTATTTATTTATTTAATCCTCACCCGAGGACATTTTTCCATTTTTTGTTCAGGTAGAGTGGGAGGGAGAGAGAGGAACAGAGAGAGAGAGAAACATTGACATGAAAGGGACACATCGAGTGGCTGCCACCTGCACGACCAACCAGGGCCAGGGACAAACTGCAACTGAGGTACATGCCCTTAGTGGGAACCGAACCCAGGTCTCTTGGGACCACAAGCAAATGCTCTAACCGCTCAGCCAAACTGGCCAGGGCACAACAGTCTTATTTTAAAAGCCTGTGACAAGCTGTATGTTGCCACTGTAGACCATGGAAATGGCGACATGGGACTAAAGTCTGTGGCATGGGAAGAAGCTCAAAGAAGTCTGTACTGTATTCAAATCTTAACAAGCTGATGTGTTAATGTTTAAAGTTTTAAAAAGGGTTTGTTTAGTGTGGAATACATGTATGTATTGTTTGTGTGCTATGTACACACAGAGGAAATGTATGTTTGTCGTATATAAAAAACGGTTTTAGTTGATCTGTAATTATAATTGTAATAATAAAACAACTTAACTTCTCAAAAAAACAAAAAACAACCCAGAGCAAAGAGACAAGATGAACACAGACTACACTACCTCTCTTTTATAAAGTGAGCATTGGCTGTGCCGTGACCTGCAGCCCGAGGGCTCTCTCCCTTCCCCTCTCCCACTCGGACAGTGAGTCCAGCCTTCTTTCTGAGAACAGCAATGCAGGCAACCTTCTGAAGAGTGGGCTGGAGTCTCACCAGCCTGTGTGGAGGTGCAGCGAGGAGGAGGTCAGAGGAAGGGGGCGATGGAGGAGGGAGGCCGTGCATAGCTGAGGAGGGGTGACAGCGTGAACTAGGGGTGTGCGGAGCTGGCGGTGAGCTTTTCCTCACAGGAGCAGAGCGTGCTGCTTGGGAGCAGAAAGCAAGTAACGCCCTGGCCAGGTAGCTCAGTCGGTTGGAGTATTGTCCCGGTGCACCAAGGTCATGGGTTTGATCCCCAGTCAGAGCACATACAAGAAGCAACCAATGAGTGCATGAATAAGTGGAATGATAACTCTATCTATCTATCTATCTATCTATCTATCTATCTATCTCTCAAATCAATAAAAAAGAAATTTAAAAAAAAAGAGCAAGGCAAGATTAGTTGACCCATCCCGCAGGTCTAGCAACGAGGACTCTAGAGGGGGAGTGAGGATGAGGAGGGACAAGAGACACGAGAAATGGAGACAAGACAGGATTCTGATCAAGTCTCGTTTATTCAGGGGTAATTCACACAATATATAGGGCAAGAAGCACCTGTTGCCTAGCACCAGGCTTGCCCGAAGCAATTCTAGGAAATACTACAAAAGGAACAAAAGGTCAGTAAAGACTGGCTGATGAGTAAATGGTTACTTAAAGAAATGCAAAATACAGAGATAAAGAAATGCAGAATGCAGAGATATCCTGCCTTGGGGCAGGTGATGGCAGAGCAGATCATAACAAAATTGACGCCATGCAAAATGTCTCCCACAATTAGTCTTCTACAAAGTATAAACAAAGCAGAGAGTATTTATGACAAGTTGGTAGCGGTAGTCAGCCAATGAAAATTCCCAGCCAGATGACTGTGGCATCTTGGGGAGATTATTCTGGAAATTAGAGTGCAGAGAAGGTAAAGAGATTTCATCATGGAAATCCCAAGTTCAGCCACAAGGGGATCGCACTGACATTGCCCTGTGTCCAACCCCTGACCCTCATGCGTGGTAACTGTGAGGGTTAATTGAGGTGACCAATGCCGGGCACAGGCCATTCCCGGGAGAACCCACTGAACGCTGAGAGTGTCCCTGTGCAGGGGGCAGGCCATGGCCACATGCTCTCAAGAAGGCTGCTGTGGTTCTAAGGCTAGAGTCACTGTTTCCTAATCCCACAGCACATTTTCTTGTGCTGAAATCCACAAATCACCAGGCCTGGGGGTGCACAGCGCAGGGAGGCCAAAGGGAAAACCCAGTGGCCATTGGGTGGGTGAAGTGTAACCAAGAATACAGTTAACCGAATTAACAAGTAACCCGGTTAACAGAAGCCCTGGCTCCAACAGTGCCTGGCAGGGCACTGAGGACAGGCCCACCCCCATGCAGGGCATGAGCTGGAGACAGCATCCTTGGTGTTCCTGGCTGGTCTGTGGCAATGGGGGCCAGAGGCACCCTGGAGGCTGCTGGGCCTCTGAATTTGCCTAGGTCAGTGGCCTCTTGGTTCTCCACCTCCTTATCTCATGGTTATTGAGCCCTACCCAGTACACTTCAGATGCCTCATGGCTCAGTGAGGCTGCCAGGAGTGGGGAACCAGGTCCCCAGGAAGGCTCCCTCTTTTGGGTTGGAAATCTCCTTAACTCCAAGGTGTGTTGGGGCCTTGCAATGACTCTGTGCTCCCCTTTTCCTTCTCACCCCACCTCTTACCCTTCCCAGGACTTTGAATCTTTGGGACCTTCTTCATTGTGAGGTTCCCGAGCCCCCTCGCCAGTAGGGCAGGAGACTAGCTGCTCTGCTGCTGTTCAGGGTCCGGGCGCCGGGAAGGAGCTGGCAGGAGTGGAGGGGGGAGTGGGGAGCGTGTGTCTGTGATGGCGCACAGAAGCCGCCGGAAGGGAGCCAGCTCCTTGCCCTGGAGTCTGGCTGGCCCGCATTGACCGCGTTGACCGCTGTGGCTGAGGCTGGGACACGGACGCAGCTTCCGCAGGTGCCCTGGAGTGGTCCCTCTGCAGGCCGAGTCCACACTCTGAGAGGCCCGAGCTGCACAGAGGTTCCGGGGAAGGAGAAACAAGGAGGGTGTGACAGTCTCACCCACTGCCAGCCACCACAGCCGAGTCCGGGCCCTCCCCGACCGCCCTGCCGCGTGGGGGCAGCAGGTTTCCCTGGGGCTCGGGCCCCCACAGCGAAGGGAGGTTTTCCAGTCATCCTTTCAGAAGAGGAAGCCAAACCAGCCGAGAACTGGCCAAAGAGGAGAAGGACATGGGAAAGGCCCTAGAGGAGTGACACTGTGACACTGACAGTGACCCTGCAGCAGGTGGCATAGCTCTTCATCTGTGACCTATACTCATAACCACAGCGGCAGTGAGGGCCCTCTCTCCTCTTTGTTGGTGGGTTTCCACCGCAGTGCACAGGCTGTAGGTGATGCCAATCGGAGCTGGGCAGGATCAGGGCATGGACCTCACCCAGGCAACCCGGATGCCAAGACTAGTGGAGCATTTTGTAGCGAGGAGGTTTCCTGGGAATGTGGGGAAGGGCGTGCGCAGGGCAAGCAAAGGGAGGGTTGTAAGGAACATCTCCTGCTAGTTTTTGTCCTGACTTGCTCCCTCCTTGCAGATCTGGGGGCGGAGCCTCCGACTGGGCCCCTCCCTGACTGCAGGGGGTGGGGGTGGGAGCCAGCTGGGCCTATGAAGGGACTGGAGCCCAGCCCTCCCCTGGCCACCGTCCTGCCTGCGAATCCTGCTGGCCCCTCACTCATTCCTCCTCCTGGCTCAACCCACACTTCAAAGCCCGATCCAGGCCGGAGCCAAGTGAGGTGGTAGTTATGACCTTCCCCCGGATTTGCACTGCCCTGCTTGGCCTTGGTGGGTTGCAGTCCCACCCTGCATAGAAGAGAAGAGAGAGTGGACCTGGTGAGCCAGAAAAGAACCTGGTGGGAGGCCCAGTGACAGGTTCACTGGGCAAAATAGATGGCGAGAGGGTCACCTGCCTCTCAGGGTTGCTGCCGAAAGGCGTGGTGGGCAGAGGGAGGGCCAGGGGTCTTACCCCAGGGATCCTTGGTCCTGGCCCCAGCCCCTGCCCACAGGCCCCTGTCCCTCCCGCCTTACGCTTCCCAGGGCAGGGTTCTTGAGGCAGCCCGTCTGGATGGAACCTCGGCTCTGCTGCCTGGCTCTCTGAGTCTTCATTTTCTCCATCTGTGAAATGGGAGCCATCTGGGCATGATCACGCCAAGGTGTACGACTCCCAGTGTTCCAGCCCACCCGCCCCAGGTCCACACGCCTCTGCACTGCCCCCAGCCTTCCCCTCCTGGGGCTTTGCTGCTGACCCTTGGGAAGAGCAGACACAAGGCACCCACAAGCATCAGCCTGGGTGACTCGTGGGTGTCCAGGGCTCTGTTCTGTCCTTCCCTGGGGCCAGGGCCAGTGGGGCTGCCCAGGGAGGCCAGGCATATCCCACAGGTCTCCGAGGCAACACTTCTGCCTCCCCCGACTCATTAGCCAGGCCGAAGCTGACGGGCCACCTGATCACGACTGGCTGTGGGAGCACTCAGGAGTCCAGGTGGCCAGCAAGCAGCGGGGGCTCGGAATGGACCGCCTCCAGGACACAGTTTCCCTGGACCGAGGGGGCCGCTGCCCTGCCCTGCACAAGCTGGTCCCCGTCGGCTTTAGGGCTGAGGCGTGGAAGCTCTTTGTCCTGTCTGGACCCCTGGTAAGGAGGGGGGGTGAGGCTGGGGGCCAGTGGCTGTCCAGGCATGACCTGGGGTCTGCCAGGGGCTGCTCACAGCCCTTCCCCAGAAACTTCCCATGCTGCCATGTTGAGGCTGCACCAGGGGCTGCTGCCCAGAGCAGGTGGCAGCAGACGGCTGTCCCTGGACAGTGCCAGGGTTAGCAGTGGGGCCTGCCATGCTCAGCAGGATGAGCAGCATGTCCTCTTTCAGAAACCCACAGGAAGGCTGGGTTGAGAGATTTCACGATGACAAGTGAGAGGCACTGATGCAGGGGCCTACAGATCTCCCCAGAGAGGCGTTTGCAGGGAGGAAGGGGCCCCCGGCCCTTTTTATTGCCAAAGGAAAATGGCTTTAGGTGCATTTTTTTTCTAATCACAAAAGCTGATTGATATGTGCTCCTTGTACAAGTTTCAGACAAAACAAAAAGCTATAAAGAAGAAATCCATCTCTGATCCCAGCACCTGGACAGATTGTATTCCTCCTCTTTTTTGTTTATATGTGGCCCGGCCAAATGGTTCTAAGGACATGATGGCAGCACAAGCGGCTGCGGGACACTCGGGGCTCAGGCCCAAGCGAGGTGTCTTGTGTGTTCCCACACTTCTAGGCAAGAAGGCAGTTAGCCCAGCTGCGGACAGGAGCAGCACCCAGGCTTCCTGGCCCCTGGCCTGGCTGCTATGCCGGCCTCAGGCACACGCTCGTCTCCCTCGGTGGGGGCGATATGCCTGCTGGCTCCGAGGGGCTTTTGCAGGTTACTGGTGTGGATTCGGGCTGGGCTGTGATGGCAGGGCCGGCAGGCCGAGGCAGGGCCGAGTGGTGCTCTTGACCCAGGCTGTCACCCTTCAGTTCCTGTTCCAGGTGCTGTCCTTCATGATCTATGTCGTGAGCTCGGTGTTCTGTGGGCACCTGGGCAAAGCGGAGCTGGCGTCAGTGACCCTCTCAGTGGCCGTGAGTGCAGCAGGGGATGAGTAGGGACGGTCTCTCCCAGGCTCCTCCGCTGGCTTCCAGGAGAAGACGCAGCATGAGGGCTGACCGCTGTATGCAAAGCTGGACCTGGGGCCCTTGCAAGATGGGGCACAGCCCGTATGGGCAGGAACCCACCAGGAGGGAGGTCGGCTCAGCTGCACATCTGAGCAGCTGCTGGGTGGCCTTGCCCCAAATGTAGGGCCCCTCCTTGGGCTCCACCCGACAAGCCCTGTGTTTTCTCTTGTATGTGGCTTCAGTTTGTCAATGTCTGCGGAGTTTCCGTAGGATTCGGCTTTTCCTCAGCATGTGACACCTTGATGTCCCAGGTAGGTGGGCCTCCTAGATCTGGGCAGGGAGAGAGGATCCCTCAACTGTTGCAGAAATGGTGGGGGATGGGGCCCCTCAAAGTCCCCTCAGTGCTCCTTGGAGCTGGGAGCCTGTCAGACACCTGGTGGGGCAGCTGTCAGGAAAGCAGACCCCCCACCCCTTTGACAGAGTCTAGGCAGGCAGGAGAGAATCCTGGAAGGAGAGGGAGGAGGCAGCTCCTTGCTCATGTGTGTCCAATGCTGAGGGTGCACCAATAGGACTCCCCTGCTCTTGAGGACCCACAGCTCAGTGGGGGCTCAGCTACCCCAAAGTTATGCGCATATGGTGGACTTGGGGACCTGGGTTCGGCCCTGGCTGCCACCAACTAGCAGGGTGAGTTGGCAAATGCTCTCGGAGCCCCCCTTGCCTCAGCTGTGATGTGGGGAAATAGTGCTTTCCTCACTAGGCGCTTCTGAAGAACTGGGGACAATGGGTGGACAGAGGATGGCACTCAGTAAACAGCCACTACTATAACTCTGTGGTCCGGCTGAGCCTCTGCAGGGGGAGCCACCCCAGACGTACCAAGGGCTCCCAAGCTCTGCTACCAAGGACGCTGAGTGGTGCCTACGTGGTGTGTGCAGGAGCGCCTGGCAGCACGGGCACCCCTAGCAGGGGACCCAGAAGGCGCTGAGTACAGAAGGGGGGCTGTTTTGCAGAGCTTCGGCAGCCCCAACAAGAAGCACGTGGGGGTGATCCTGCAGAGGGGCGTGCTCATGCTGCTGCTCTGCTGCTTCCCCTGCTGGGCGCTCTTCCTCAACACCCAGCAGATCCTGCTGCTCTTCGGGCAGGACCCGCACGTGTCCAGGTACCGCTTGGCTCCTGCCAGGAAGCCGGGGAGGAACCCCCTAAAGAAGCCCCCCTCCAGGCGCCACGCTCCTCTGGGTCAGAAGCAGTCGCAGGCGTAGCTCCCTGGGACGGTTCCAGGTTAGGTTTGGGGATCCTTTCGCACTGCGTGCTGCTCCAGCTGCGACCAGCAGGGGGCGGAAGGCCCGTGGTAATGCAGCAGGACGGAGAAAAAAGAAGGGATTTGCATGTTATTAGCATTTGTGTCCCGCGCCAGGTGGAACTTCACAGAGGCTTTGAAGAAATGGAGTGTGCACTACCACATATTCCAAAAGGGAGAAAGAGGACCGAACCCATTTCTGATTAATTATGCAGTCTGTTATTAATTTCAGAAACGTCATAGGAATGTCTTGTTCATTTTACATTATGTGCACTCCTTGGCTATTTCTTTCTTTCTTTTTTATTTATTTATTTATTTATTTATTTATTTATTTATTTAATTAATTACTTTATTTTTGTTACAGATGTTTCTCCTTTCCCCCCCACTGATTCCCCCTCCCTCTCCCTCCCCACCCTGTCCCCGGCTTTGTCCATGTCCATTGTTCATGCACACATGCATGTAAGTTCTGTGGTTTAACCCTCCCCCACCATCCCCTCTTCTGGGGATTGTCAGTCTGTACCCCACTTCCCTGTCTCTGGGACTACCCCATTCCTCAGACTGTTATGTTCATTATATTCCACAAATAAGTGAGATCATATGATACTTGTCTTTCTCTGTTTGGCTTGTTTTGCTTAGGATGATACTTTCCAGATCCCTCCATGTTATCTCAAAGGATAAGAGATCTTTCTTACAGCTGCATAGTACTCCACTGTGTACATGTACCACTGCTTTTTTATCCATTTGTCTACTGATGGACATTTGGGTTGTTTCCAGATCTTAGGTATTGTAAATAGTGCTGCTACGAACATGGGGGATACATATATCCTTTGGCTATTTCTTGATAAGAGAGAACTTTTTTTATCCCCTTACAAACTACATATGACTCCAAATTTAAGTTCCTAAGTCATGAGGACCCTGTGGTTGGGTCCCTGAGTTCCTCCTCTCAGCGTGTGGTGGCAGCACCCTGAATACTGAAGTTTCCTTGTCTCCGCGGAAATCTGCAGGGCCTGGGAGAGCCTCTCCTCAAACCCGGGGTTCCCGGGATGTCCCCAGTTTAGAGGGGAACAGCCTGGTCAGCTCTGAAGCTTCTGGTTCTCTTGCAGGCTAACCCAAGAATACGTGCTGATTTTAATGCCAGCACTTCCGGTAAGTGCGGGGGTCTGAGCCTGGAGCAGGGGGGCTTACAGTGTCCTGGCTCTGGCCCAGGCTCACCCCCTCTGCTGGGAGGCAGCGACTTTCCACCGAGCGGGGGTGCGAGGGTGGGGTGGGGGGCGGTGCAGGGTCCGGAGGGAAGCTCCCGTTCCAGTAGGTGCACATTGACTGCCTTGAGATCATTACTGAAATTGGAGTTACTCGGCCAATTTGTAGCAATTCTGCCCCCACTGGCAACACTCATCAGAAGAGTATTATTAATGTTTTCCAATTACAAATAAATCGTTTAAATATGTATTTTATTGCCAGTGAAGTGAACCATTTTTCAATGTATTTATTGATCATTTGTTTTTTTTCTGTGAATTGCTTATACCCTTTGCTTATTTTAGTGGATTAATCTTTTTCTAATTATAGTAAGTTGTTAAATAATAGCTTAATCCTTTGTCATATATGTTGCAAACACTTTTCAGTTTGTCAGTTGCCTTTTAATTTTTTTCTGTATTTGACTAAAATAATTTTTAATATATTTGTAACAGATCCATAAATCCAATCCTTTATAATATCTGTCTTTGAGGAACTTAAAAACCCTTTACCCATATCAAGATTATATAAACATTTGGGTATATTCTCTTTGGGGTTTTTTGTTTGTTTTTTTATCCTCACCTGAGGACTTTTTTTTTTTTTTTTTTTTTTTTTTTGCATTTATCTTCAGACAGAGCGGAGGGAGAGAGAGAGAGAAACATTGACTTGAGAGAGATGCATCAACTGGCTGCCACCCACACGACACCCAGCCAGGCGGGAGGAACCTCAGCTGAGGTAGTTGCCCTTAGTGGGAACCAAACCCGGGACTCTGTGGTTCCCGAGCGGAAGCTCTAACTGCTGAGCCAAACCGGCCAGGGTGGGCATATTCTCTTTGAACTCTTTTCTGGTTTTCATTTTTACACGTAAGGCTTTAATCCACTTAGCAACCTTTTTCTAAGACAAACGATTGACTATTCTCTTCTTTCTTTTCTCCATGAACTTACCAAGTACTAAAACTAAGCAGTGCCCACCTGGCTCAGCCCAGAGATCGCTGTGGTCAGGGTCCACTGCTGAGCCCTTAGATTGTTGAAGCTTAGTGACAGGTGTCATCCCTGGCAGGTCTGTGCCTGGGGCTGTCTCCGTCTCTGGAAGTGCAGCCAACCTTTCCTTCATGGCACCAGGGGCGAGCTCTTCAGGAGAAAGCTGGGAAGGGAATGGGCCCAGGTCTTGTGGGATGTGCCCCCACACCCACCCTGAAAGGCCAGTGCCGTGACCTCTCTGGGGCCCAGCCAGCTCCAGATTTCTCTGGAATCATGGAAACCACTACAAAAGGCTGGTGTTTCTCCTCCAAGGTTTTGGCTCTTCAGACCAAGATGATGGTATTTTGTCAAACAGGGCCATTGTGCCAGGGCAGGGAAAAATATCCTATAAAGTTATTACCGTGACAGCTCCTTTAGCAAATAAAGCAAGTCCCTCCCACAAAATGCAAATGCAAGATTTAATCAACAATAATACTTACATAATGCCTACCTAACATTTGGAATGATTAAATATGCCAAACACTGTTTTGTAATCACATTGTATGGGTATGTATGTGTAAATATTAGGTATACACACATTATTATCCCCATTATAGATGAGGAAACAGGCAAGAGACGTTACGTGATTTGCTGAGACTCGCGCGTCTCCTGCGAGGCAGACCAGTATTCGAACCCGGGCAGCGCAGTTCCAGCTCCGGGCTCCAATCACTGTGCTGCGCTGAACACGCAGGAGGGGCTGAGGGAAGGGATGGGCAGGAAGGCACAGGCCCTGGGCCAGGCTCTGACAGAGGACAGAGGAGCAGGAGCAGTGCCCCTGAGACACACACACACACACACACACACACACACACACACAAGCCTGCGCCCCTGCTCCACAGGGGAGGCCCTGCCCCCCTTCATGGGGCCTTACCCCTGCTCCGCAGAGGCTGCTGTGGCCAGCATCGCTCAGTTCCCAGCACTCCCCTAGTCCAAGGCCGCTCTTGCCAGATTGTCTCCAGCAACCAGAGCCAGGCACTGGTGTGGTCACACCTGTGGATTCGGGCTCTGACGTGTCCTGTGCACTGTCCCCTGGACAGGCTTCCTAAGCTGATGGAAGTCCTGGGTTGGCAGCCAGAACCTGCCAGGCCCTCTGCCTCTTGTGCACACCCGCCGAGGTGTGCTCTGTCACAGAGCCCATGTCCCCGCCTGCTGTCTCCTCCACCGGAGCAGGAACGCGAGGGCCTCTCCCCCGCAGGCAGGCCAGAGCACACAGCCAGGTGAAGCCTACCTGCTGGGTCTTACATGTACTTTGGTGAAGGAATTGCTCCCAAACTCAGACACCTGAGAAATATCTGTCAGTGTTCATCTGGTGATTTTTTTAGTAGTTGTTGTTTATTTGTGTGTAAATGTATGTTTTATTTTATGCAGGCGATTTTTCTGTACAGCCTGCTGGCAAAATATTTGCAAAATCAGGTAGAGGTCCCGGCTGGAGGGGTGGCCAGCACACTGCCCAGTCAGGTGGGAAGGGGTGCCGGGGCTTTCTCCCTCTGGGCACTGGCTGTGGTCGGGGCGCCACACCCTGCTCTCTGGTAGGTGCCAGTGAGGAGCTGCATGTCTCCAGCCTCTTCCCAACCCCTATGTGTGCCCACGCTTGCCCACACCTCGGCCCTACCCACCCACAGCGAGGCCAGCCAGTTTCCATTTGTTTCAGGGAATCATCTGGCCCCAAGTCCTCAGTGGCACCGTGGGCAACTGCGTCAACGCCTTGGCCAACTACGTCCTGGTTTCTGTGCTGAGCCTAGGGGTTAGGTGAGGCTGGTGAGCTTTGTGGGGGGCCTGTCGAGGAGCACTGCCCCCCAAGCACCCCACCCCTGACTGGGGCAGGTCAGTTATCCTTGCCTCGCCCATGGCAACGGTGGAGGCTGCTCACACCATCTTGAAGTGGGGGGTCATGAGGAATTTGATGGGGACTCCCTACCAAAGAAACGAGGAGAGGGCCACTTCCCACCACCCTCCCGGCACAGAGTTGGCGTCAGCCCCGCTCTCTCCTTCCCAGGGGCTCCGCCTACGCCAACACCGCGTCCCAGTTCGTGCAGACCGGCGTCCTCTTTCTCCACATTGTGCTGAAACGGCTGCATCAGGAGACCTGGGCAGGTGGGGAGGGCGCCCTGCTTTCGGGGGCTGAGCAGGCGAGCATCGGGTGGGGCCCAGCATGGGCACGGGGTGTCCTTTGCCAGGCAGAAGGCCCAGTTGGGGCCCCCCTGGAGGAGCCCCATCCCTCACCTGCCTCTATTTCCCTTCGAGGCCCCCTTCCCTTTGCTCTCCCCCTCAGGACTCCCACCCCAAAGCCCGGGGGTCCCCTCATCCCCTGTGTCACGGTGCAGAGCTTCCGCTGGCTCCTTGGTCTCAGGGTGGAGATTAGAGTAATTGCAATAACCCCGGCAGAAGCCTAGGTGTCGGCCCTGGGCGGAGTGCCTGCCGTTCCTGACCTCAGTTAGACTTCACAACGCCTGATTGTTCCCCTTTTATTTACACTGAGGAAACTGAGACAGAGACAGGTTAAGTAATTTCCCCCAAATGCCCAAGAGGGTGCATGGTGGGGGCTCGAACCTCCGGAAACCTAGCTCTGCAGCCTGTGGGCTCCATGTCCAGGCATTTCGGGAAGAGCTCTGGGGCCCCCAGGCCTCATTCGGCGGGCAAGGGAGTCCTGCATGGCCGGACCCTCGCCAGGTCCTGCACAGCCCTATCTGCCCGGCCAGCCCGTCTCATGCCATCCTCCCCACAACCCTCCCGGGAGGCAGGGCAAAGATGAGCACTCTAATCTCCAGAGGAGGAAACAGCCCAGAAAGGGCAGGTACTGGTCCAAGACCCTGTGGTATCACAGGCAGAGTCGGAACCCTCACCCGAGCCTGGGGCTCCGGTCCTGAGCTGCTCCATGGTGCCCTGTCCCCGCATCCTCCTCCACCCCCCCACCAGCACCGGGCCAACTGGCATGCCCTGTGTAAAATGCCAAGTGCCTGAGCCTGCTGAGCGGAGCCCAGGAATGGGCAGAGCCAAGGGCCATCAGGGCCCCCCCAGAGGGTGTACGCACGCGGGCTGCTGCATGCTCTCAGGGCTTCTGTCCTTAGGCTGGTCCGTCCAGTGCCTGCAGGACTGGGGCCCCTTCTTCTCCCTGGCCGTCCCCAGCATGCTCATGCTGTGCATCGAGTGGTGGGCCTACGAGATCGGGAGCTTCCTCATGGGTACGTGGGAGAGCAGGGTGGGGCCCATGTGGGCGGCTCACGGGCTCAGAAGGCCCTCCGGACAGTAGTTCACCAGCCGGGCCCAGGCTAGCCAGCTGCTCGCTCGTCTCCCCCTCAGTCCGCGAGCTCCCAGAGGCCAGGCCTGGGGCTTTTGGGCCGGAATCCCAGCACTGAGCGGGCGCCCCGTGCAGGTGGTCACATGGGGGGGAGGAGGGGGGACGTGGAGGTTGAATGGACTGGTGCGGGCAGTGGGTGGGCCTGCTGGCCCTGGGCTCACCCGCCGCGGTGTGTGCTCATCGGAGCGCTCAGCACAGAGTCCAAACAGCCAGAGAATCAGGCCAGTGCTGTGGTCGCCCCGAGGGACCTTCCAGTCCAACCCTGGACGGCTAGGAAAGCCAAGGCCCAAGAACAAGAGAGGCTGCCCAGGCTCGTGCAGTGTCAGCCCTGAGACCTGACCCTGGGGTTCCTGACTGGTCCAGTTCTCCTCGCACACCATTGCCACCCGTTTCCAGGGGTCCAACTCGAAAACCAAACCACCCGGGGAACGGCCTGCAGGATCCCCAGTGGCTGGGCAGGGTTTTCCTGGAGGGCCGGAGGCCAAGCAGGAACATGATTTTGTTGTGAATCTGACCTTCAAATCACTTACCCCTTGGCCTCCAAAGTGGAGGGGCGATCTGTCAGCCCTGGTCCCTCAGCTGGCCCCGGGGCCAGGGCTCACTTCCCGCTCTCGCGCAGGCCTGCTCAGCATGGTGGACCTCTCTGCCCAGGCGGTCATCTACGAGGTGGCTACAGTAATCTACATGGTGAGGCTTCTTGGGGGTGCCTTTGCCATGCCCTGCACCCCGAGCCAGCACCCCCCAGTGCCCTGGGGGTGTCATAGGAGGGAGCAGGCGCTCACTCCAAAGACTATCTCTGTCTCCTGAGGGCCCCTCCCAGACTTCTCATGCCCATCTGTCGGGCCCTCCCAGACTCACACAGGCAAGGTACAGCCACTCCCCTGGTGGTGACAATGAGCTCTCGTGATCTTAAAAGTGTTTTTGAATTAATTAACACCATTTTAAAATGGGGAGATTTTACATCATAATCTGGATTTTTGCATTTTCTTGGAAAATGGGACATTCTATTTAGCATTGAGCCCATGTTCCTGCACTCCCTTTGGAGAGAGCTGGGTGTCAGCGTCCCCTGGTGGTAGTGGTGGGGAATTGCTCTTCTCCAGCATGGGCCCCGTTGCCCTTCTTTCTCCAGAGACTTGGGTTGTTCCATGTCACTCATGTACAAATCTGCCAGGCTCCTGGGGTCATGCAGTCTGTGACCTCAGGATTCACAAAAATCTACACTTACAAAACTATTTATAAGATGATTCTAACTTTCACAGAAAAATAATGTTTCTTACAGGGAGCTTTTCTGGCATACTTGGGGCCGTATTTGCCTTTTAAGTTTATTTACCCATAAGGGTTTAGGGACACAGTGATTTTGACTGCAAGGCCAGTCTGCCTGCGATGCTTGATGGAGTGGAGGGGGTGGCAGACACTGGCTCACTTGGTGTCCCCACCCCATGCCCCAACCTCAGGTGTCACCACCTGTTTTCCGCATGAATGGCCTCTCCTCATGCAGCCTCCCTGAGATCCGCCATCTTCGTCCTCCCCCTGGTGGCCCAGGCTGGAGGGCTGCCTGCTTCAGAGCCAGCCCAGGCCTCTTTCGGGCCCAGCAGCCACCCCGTCCCGGGGGTGGAGGGTGGCTCCACTGACAGCACGTTCTTGCCTTGATCCCAGATTCCCATGGGGCTCAGCATCTCCGTCTGTGTCCGAGTAGGGACGGCCCTGGGAGCTGCAGATACCGTGCAAGCGAAGCGATCAGCCATCTCAGGCGTGCTCTGCACAGGTGGGTCCTCTCCTGGGTCGCGGTGGTCAAGGGCCTGGGCCAGAGGTGGGCGTGGCATGTTGGAGGCAGGGCTAGCTGTGGGAGCAGACAGGCTTACCTTCCAAACCTGCTTTCCCTGTCTTCCTGCCCAGAGTAGCCCCAGCTGATAAGTGGGTGGTGCTTCACCCCCTCCCCGAGCAGCAAACATCACTCTTGCCTGCTGTGCCCCTTCTCCACTTCCGCTCGCTGCTGGGGTTCTTGGGGCCTTCCAGGCAGGACAGCTCGCCCCCACTCACCTCAGTGTGACCCTGTGAAGGCTCTTCCTCCCCAGGCTTTTCCCTCCAGCTGTCCAGGGTCCTCTGCAAGCGTGGCCTTCCAGCGTCCCCAGGAGCTTGGGACCTTCACATGGCTCTGCTTTCTGAGGCTGAAGATTGGGATCAGCTCCTCAGTGGAGAGTGGGGTTCTCAGGCTTCAGATTGCACTGGATCCCCTAGAGACTGGCTCAAGGCACAGATCGCCTGGCCTCACCCAGCAGATTCTGGTTCAGTAGGTTGGAGATGGGGGTCTGAGAATCTGCATTTCTAACACGTTACCAGGTAATCCTGATGCTGCTGGCCTAAGAACCTTACTTTGAGAACCACGGCTGGAAAGGCATTTTATATGCTGTCCTTCCTATAGGATGGCAAAAGAATGTCATGGTCCAAATGAATGGCTCTAATGCACGGGGCTTTAGGCCCCTGGGAGTGAAGGGCTGGGCCGACTTTGCTGCCCTGGGCTGGCCTCCCCCATGGGCTGGGCTTAGCCAGATGTTCTCCCTTTTTCTCTTTCAGTTGGCACCTCGCTGGTTATCGGCACCCTGTTGAGCCTCCTGAAAAATAAATTGGGTTATATTTTTACCAATGATGAGTAGGTAGTCGGTTTTCTTCACTGGCTTCTGGGAAATGTCACAGTGGTTTACTGACAGTCCTAAGACATGTCACATGCCTGGCTCAGCCTTGGGTCCACAGGAAACAGGACCAGCCCTGGCTTTGCCCCCATGGAGAAGAAGCTGGGCCCTTTGCTCCCGGGTCATGGCCTCCGCCACTTGCTTGTCCAGAGACCAGATGCTAAGTGGAGGGCAGTACAAAACTGAGGGCACTTTTGAAGTTTTAGGAAGACCCACAGACATGGAGAAACTCGGGACTAGGGGTGTTGGGTTTGCATGGAGTAACCACATTCCCAACATTTTGGGGAGGTGGTGTAACTAGGTCTCTAAGAATACAGTCATGCCTTCGTGCTCCAAACGTGTTCTTTCCTCTTCCTCCTGCAGAGAGGTCATCGCCCTGGTGGACAAGGTCTTGACCATTTACACTGTCTTTCAGCTGTTCGAGGCCCTCTGTGTGAGTACCCTGTGCCCCAGCCCTTCCTGAGGCCTCGCAGGGCTGTGAGGGTGAACTCCGCAACACGTGTGAAGGACTGACTATAGAGTAATGCCCAAAGTATTTGCTCATATTAGTTCTATTTTTCATATGCTTTCAATGCTTTTTTAGAGAGAGAAAGGCAGAGAGAGATAGAAACATCGATGTGAGAGAAAAACATCGATCAGCTGCCTCCTACACAACCCATTCTGGGGATCGAGCCCAAAACCAGGCATGTGACCTGACCGGGAATCGAACCGGGACCTCTCCATCCATGGGAGGATGCTCAATGCACTGAGCCACAGGCTAGTTCTACTTTTATTCAAAACAATGACTCCTTGCCCTGGCTGGTTTGGCTCAGCGGTTGGAGCCTTGGCCTGCGGTCTGGAGAGACCCGGGTTCGGTTCCTGCTGAGGGCACATACCTCGGTTGCAGTTTGGCCCCGGCCCTGGTTGTGTTGTGTGGGTGGCGACTACTGAATGTGTCCCTTTCACATCGATGTTTCTCTCTCTCTCTCCCCCTCCCACTCTATCTGAACAAAATATCAAAAAAAAAAAAAGTGTCCTCAAGTGAGGAAAAACAAAACAAAACAATGACTCCTCTTGCCTTCTGCAATTCCAACAAGCCAAAAGATGAATGCCGATGAGCAAAACTGAAAATTGCCCCAGTGTAACTCACAAATCTTTCTCTTCCTTCCTTGCTCCTCAGGAGCTGGGGCCACAGGCACTGACCTGAGGCCCTGACTGGCCAGGAGCTTGGCAGCAACCGTACCCTGTAGCCAGTGACAGGGACACTTCTGAGAGGGAGCGAGGCAACCCAGAGTACAGACGGAGTAGAATTTCTGCTCCTTTGACCACTAGAGGACAGGTCCCATTGGTGCAGACTTAAATTCTAGAAATTTTATTAATTTATTTTTGTTACAGATGTTTCTCTTTTTTCCGCCATTGAAACTCTCCTCCCAATCCCGCCCCCGCCCCCAGTATTGTTGTCTATGTCCATTGGTTACATGTACATGCATATAAGTTCTTTGGATAATCCATGCCCTCCTCCTCTGAGGTTTGTCAGTCTGCACTTCTACGTCTCTGGCTTTGTTTTGTTCACTAGTTTGTTTTGTTCATTATGTTCCTCAAATAAGTGAGATCATGTGATATTTGTCTTTCTCCGCTTGGCTTATTTTGCTTAGCATAATACTCTCCAGGTCCCTCCATGTTGTCTCAAAGGATAAAAGATCTCTCTTTCTTACAGCTGCATAGTACTCCATTGTGTATATGTACCACAGCTTTTTTATCCACTCATCTAGTGATGGGCACTTGGTCTGTTTCCAGAGCTTAGCAATTATAAGTGGTGCTGCTATGAACATGGGGGTACATATATTCTTTCTGATTGGTGTCTCAGGTTTCTTAGGGTATATTCCTAGAAGTGGGATCACTGGATCAAATGGAAGATCAATTTTTAATTTTTGAGGAAGCACCATATTATTTTCCATAGAGGCTGCACCAGTCTGCATTCCCACCAGCAGTGTACTAGAGTCCCCTTTTCTCCACACCCTCGCCATCACTTGTTGTGTGATGATTTGTTGATGGCGGCCATTCTGACAGGTGTAAGATGATACTTGAGTCGTTTTAATTTGAATCTCTCTGATGATTAGTGATATTGAGCACTTTTTATATGTCTCTTGGCCACTTGTATGTCCTGTTTGGAGAGGTGTCTATTTAGATCCTCTGCCCATTTTTTAATTGGAGACTTTGTCTTCCATTTGTTGAGTACTCTATATCTTTTGAAAATTAACCCCTTATCTGATGTATCGTTGGCAATTACGCTCTCCCATATGGTGGTTCTCTTTCCATTCTGATGATTATTTCTTTTGCTGTGCAGAAGCTTTTCAGTTTGATGTAGTCCCATGTGTTCATTTTTTCCTTTGTTTCTCTTGCCTTAGGTGTTGTATCAGTGAAAATTCTGCTGCATATGATGTCTGAAATTTTGTTGCCTGCATTTTCTTCTAGAATTTTCATGGATTTATGAGTCACATTTAAATCTTTTATCCATTTTGAGTTTATTCTTGTGTATGGTGTAAGTTGATGGTCTAGTTTCATTGTTTTGCATGTAGCTGTCCAATTTTCCCAGCTCCATTTATTGAAGAGACTATCTTTTCTCCATTGTGTGCTCTTGTCTCCTTTGTCAAACATTAATTGAGCATAATGTCTTGGGTTAATTTCTCCATTCTTTGTTCTGTTCCTCTAATCTATATGCCTGTTCTTGTGCCTGTACAGGCTGTTTTGATTACCATGGCTTTGTAGTGTGACTTGATATTCGGTATTGTGATCCCTCCCACTTTGTTCTTTGCTTTCAAGATTGGTGTGGCTATTCAAGGTCTTTTTTGGTTCCATATAAACTTTTGAAGTTTTTGTTCTAAATATGTCGTTGGTATTTTTTTTTTATCCTCACCCGAGGACATTTTTCCATTTTTTGTTCAGGCAGAGTTGGGGGGAGAGAGAGGAACAGAGAGAGAGAGAGAAACATCGACATGAAAGGGACTCATCGAGTGGCTGCCACCCGCACAACCCTACCAGGGCCGGGGACAAACTGCAACCGAGGTACGTGCCCTTAGCGGGAACCGAACCCGGGTCTCTCAGGACCGCAGGCCGACGCTCTAACCACTGAGCCAAACCGGCCAGGGCTGTCGTTGGTATTTTGATGGGGATTGCATTGAATCCATAGATTGCTTTGGGTAGTATGGACATTTTAATGATGTTAGTTCTTCCAGTCCATGAACAGGGTATGTGCTTCCACTGCTTTATATCTTCCTCTATTTCTGTTTTCAGTGTCCTGTAGTTTTCTGAGAACAAGTCCTTTACTTCTTTGGTTAAGTTTATTCCTAAGTATCTTAGTTTTTTTGTTGTAATGGTAAAAGGGAATTTTTTTTTTTAGTTTCTATTTCTGTGAGTTCATTATTGATGTATAAGAATGCCTCTGATTTTTTTTTTTTTATCCTCATCCGAGGACATTTTTCTATCTTTTGTTCCGAAAGAGTGGGAGGGAGATAGAGGAAGAGAGACGGAGAGAGAGAGAAACATCAACGTGAAAGGGACACATCGAGTGGCTGCCTCCCGCATGACCCAACCAGGGCTGGGGACAAACTGCAACCGAGGTACGTGCCCTTAGCGGGAACTGAACCTGGGTCTCTCTGGACTGCAGGGTGACGCTCTAACCACTGAACCAAACTGGCCAGGGTGCCGCTGATTTCTTGATGTTAATTTTGTATCCTGCTATTTTGCTAAATTCATTTACTGGCTCTAGTAGGATTTCCGTGAATTTTAAAAAGCATGGCTTAAAAAAAGAAAACACGAAAGTCTCATTTTATAAGCAGGATTTGAAATCCCGTGTCTTCTACTTTACAACTTGAGTTAAGTGAGCTCTTGTTTTATTTAAAAAATTTTTTTCCTTATTGATTTTAGAGAGAGAAGCAGGGAGAGGGAGAGAGAGATAGAAACATGGATGAGAGAGAACATCAATCAGCCGCCTCCTGCATGGCCCCCACTGGGGATCAGGCTCACAACCTGGGCACGTGTCCTGAACAGGAATCAAACTGGCGACCTCTTGGTGCAGGGTCGATGCTCAACCGCTGAGGCACACCGGCTGGGCTAAGTGAGCTCTTTAGGAATGCATCCCCCACATAAAATCCAACAGCTCTGCACAGGAGTGTGTGTTCGACTAGCAACACACAGCACCTGCATTCGAAACACATAACCCACTGAGAGAAATTCCATTCACAGCGGATTTTCCCTTAGGACTCAGTGCACACTGTCCAGTGTGCTACATATTCTAGAATTTACCTTTGCATCTGGCTGGGCGTTCAGGAAACATACTTGGAGCACACACTTATACTTAGCGGAACTGCTTCCTCTGGGCTGTGTTCTGTCATCTTACACATTGTTTTTATCACGGGACATGAAAAGAAACTATCTTATGGAATCTATTATTGCTTTTGTCATAGGATCTTGTTAAGGGCACTATTCATATTTCTTCTCCTGACCACTGACAGTGGTTGGGAATAGGTCTGCAGTTCTCAAGAGATGAAGTTTCCGCAGCGGGCAGCTCTCCGCCCCCGGACCTCAGCGGACTTGGAAACAGATTTATAACTAGCAGCTCTAAGGGCCCTTGTAGCTTGTGTACCTGCCTCCTGTCATCTTGCCTCCAGCTGTATTTACATTTTTCTTCATGTATGTTTTCCATGGACCTTATTTTTTTAAAATACTTCTACTAAGTTATAATTTACATGCATAAAATTCACACATCTTAAATGAATAATTTAATGATTTTCAGTCCATCTAGAGTGGTGCAACCATCACTGCAATCCAGTTTCAGAACCCTTCCATCACCTACCAAAACTTCCTGGCGCCTGCTTGGCAGTCAACTCCTGCTTTCCTCGTGTGTGAACTTGGCCTTTCCCGAGCGCTTCGTATGCATGAAATTGTATGTGGTCTTTTGTGACTGCCTTCTTTCACATAGGATAACATGTTTGAGGTTTAGCCATGTTGTAGCACTTTTCAGGACTTCATTCCTTTTTATGACAATAACAGTCCATTCAGTGGGCATAACACATGTTTCTTCTCCATTCATCATTTGGGTTGTTTCTGGCTTGGGCTATGGCTCAAGCCGCTGGTGACCTGGTCCTATAAGTCTGTGTGTGGATATATGCATTCGTTTTTCTTGGCAGAGTACCCTAGGAGTTGAACTGTTAGGTTGAATGATAAGTTTATGTTTAAATTTCTAAGAAACTGCCAAACTGTTTCCCAAAGTGGCTGTGATGGAGGCGTTCTGGGGGTCTGGGGACCTGAAGGTCCGCCACCCACTCAGGGTTCTTGGCTTCATGCAGGAAAGAATTCAAACTATAGCCAGCACAGACTTTAAAGTGAAAGTGAGTTTATTATTGAAACAGTGAGGCAGAGAGTAGCTACTCCACAGGCAGAGCAGCCCCCCTT